AAATAAAGAATACTCCCCAAAGCAACCCAGTTTCATAACACCCCATTGGGGATTCGAACCAGGCCCATCCTCTACGTAGTCTAGCAAGATACCAATTGAACTAACGGTGTGCTCATTGGGCTTTTAATTTGATGAAAAGAATTCAATGATACTGAAAAAGAAACTACAAGACTGTGTTCGACAAAAGATTACCCCAGAATTACAAAGTTCTGTCTGCTCAGTACCTAGTTCTGAGAAATTTGACGTGAAAAATGTTGAGTTTCATAACGTGTCAAGCTTTTCCAAATACAGTTCTTTGAATATCTTGATAACGGCTCCGAACAATCTTACGATTTTGATAGAGCAGATAATCTAGAGCATTTAATTTGGTTTCTGACCCCATGGTCTTAACAGTACTGTAACTCAGAACGACAAAAAATGTCAGATAGAACTTAGTAATATTCTAAGGTAGCGACAAAAAGCGCCTAATCATTGTTATTCTAAAATTTGAAAAGAATAAAAATAAAGAAATCACGAGAGGGCGTGCTTGGATAACGATTAAAAGGGCCCATATTACAGTCCTGAGGTTCAATTACGAGGGAGAAGAAGGGCAGACGGACAAGAGAGCAAAGGAGCTGAGGGGAATTTTTAGCATTTAAAGTAAACAAAAGGTGTTAGCTTGTATTGACGCAATTCCTTCGCAACGTTACCGCTCATGACGGAAAGGGGGGTGGGTTGGGGGTGATTGAAGATGGGAGGAAAGAAGAAAAAAAGGGGGCCGGGAGGGGAAAGGGGGATTTGAGGTGGGAGGAAAAGGGGGGGGGGGGGGGAGAAAGAAAAAAGGGGGCAGGAGGGGGGAGGGGGGGGGGGGTCTTAAATTCAATACTTCAAACGTTTTGTTGACTTATGAAAAACAGAAGGTTGAATCAATCTTCGAGTCTCTTTGCAAGATTACTACCCGCATGAATAGGCAGGCAAATAAAAGTTTTGGACAAAGCAATCAAAGCGAACTCTCGGGACATTTTTCGGTGAATGATAGAGGCTGAAACAAAGTGTGCTTGGGTGTGACTTTGATACAGTGACTATGACACAGTTTAGTTTCAGTAGGAATTTTACGGCACTTGTAACACAATAATATGGTCAAATAAGAGCTGAATATTAGCGGTGTAACAAGAGAGTAGCCTAATACAAAAAAAAAGAAGTAGAGATAAAAGAACGATAAATCGTTTTTACGAAAGAATTAACAAACAACAATAGAGCACCCGCCAACCCCCCCACTTTGGCACGGAGAAGTTGAGACTTTGAAATATAGATATGACTGTTAAAGTACCATTCCTTCTAGTAATTAATTATTTAAAATTTTACATTTGAAAATAATTGTTTTGACGTTCAACGAGGCTTCATTCGATTTTGTCCAGATGTAAAGATTTCTTCATTATCACAAATCGTGTGTGGCATTATCCTTCGACCTCTTTCTTCACCCTTTCTTTTCAATTTTCAACTCCCTTCTCAATTTCCTTTAAAAAAATTGTTTTCAATTCTTTATTCCGATCTTGTATCTCGTTCACAGGGACAGCTCTTATCTTTCACCTGAGAAGCGTCATAGTTATTTCCACTGAGGAGACAGAAGGAAGGTTTAAAAAAAAAAAGAAAGAAAAGAAAATACCATTCGTGCAAGGAAGAAAAATTTGTTCAGTAAACACTAGAATAGAAAGACAAACTTTGAAAGCAAATGGAAGCTTTCCCTCCTTTTATTATGTTTTTTTTAAAAATGAGGTGAGTTGTGGAGTGGGGATACGTTGGGGGAGGGGGGGGGGAGAAGGGGCGCGAAGGTCATTTTGTCCGTATCTCTCTAAACGAATATAGCCTAACAATTTCAGTTTTAAAAAACGACAAAAGTCACAGGATTTGAGTCATATTTTGAAATGAGGTTTAAAGAATCTATGATTTTCTTTGCTTTAAACACAATATGATTTTTAAAAATGTATATAAATCAAGCTTTCAATATTAAACTGAACTATCGAAATTACATTTAAAAATGACGGCCAATTTTTTTTCTTCTATTTGCCAACAAAAGGACTGATTTGGCGAGCTGACCTGAACATTTCTTATTTATTTATTCGTTTATTTATTTATTTATTTATTTATTTATTTATTTATTTATTTATTTATTTATTCATTTATTTATTTATCTTTTCGAATGTAAGAATACACCTCACCAGTCTTACGTGAAAGATCCCTTGTCGGGACTTCCATTTTGGTACCTTTGCGAGGGATGACTTTTGATCTATTCCCAACGTGTCACCTCGGGTTTATGTGTGCGCCCGTATATAGATAGATAGATAGATAGATAGATAGATAGATAGATAGATAGATAGATAGATATATATATATATATG